TAAAGAAATTTTTTAAATTTCTTTTTTTATTTTTTAAAGAAATTTTTAGGGGCATCTGGGTGGCTCAGTTAGTTAAGCATCTAACTTCTGATTTGGGCTCAGGTCATGATCTCAGGGTTATGAGATCCAGCTCCACGCTGGGCTCTACACTGGGTGTGGAACCTGATTAAGATTCTCTCTCTCCTTCTGCCCGCCTCCCCTAAAAAGAAATTTTTAAATAAACAGGTAAAAAACTTTCTTAACACATTTCCCAAATTAATTTGACTACAAAATACTTTTTTCCTTCTTAAATTATTGTTCTTTGAAATACTGGTATAATTAGTATATATTTTCTTAAATTAATAAACTAATCTTTCTTAAAATAATTTTACAAATTATCAGATTATTTAAATAAACTCTATTTTAATTTATTATGATGTCAGTGTGTTTTGGGGAAAGGGATAGGAAGTTTTGGGGAACAAGATTTTGAGAACTGTTGGTTATACTTTTTATTTTTTAATATAGTTGAATTAATTTGCAGTCCATGGATTTTTCTGTTGAGAGGAAGAGATCTGATATAACTGGTCTATCAGCTGATTGATATTACATATTGAAAAATTAAATCAACTTTATTTTTTTAAGATTTTTTAAGAAATATTTTATTTATTTGAGAGAGAGTGAGAGAATGAGCAGGGGGAGAGGTAGAGAGAGAAGAAGAAGCAGGCTTCCTGCTAAGCAGGGAGCCCGATGTGGGGCTCCATCCCAGAACCCTGGGATCATGACATGAGCCAAAGTCAGACGCTTAACCGACTGAGCCACCCAGGCACCCTTTAATCAATTTTAAACATGTTAATGTATTTTACTTTCAAGGGAAATACTTACTAAATTAAAAAAAAATGTTTATATATTTTTGAAAGATCCAGGAAAGAGCATCCCTCCTTTTCTTAGAATTCTCTTATATTCACACTCCTTCATAATGAAACTTTTTATTAGTCATCAACCAAAGTTTAAAAATGTATCAGGTGGCTCTCACCTCCATTATGTTATTGCAAGACTTTGGAGAGTTGCCTTTAGTTTCTGTAATCTTCTCACATATATAATGATAGTAGGAATATTGTATTCCTTTAAAGAGCAGGTACTAAGATGGGAGAAAATCACTGCTCATAAATTAAAGGCAATGGATTTTACACATTAATCACATTAAATACATGAAAAATGACTTACATCGTTCCTCTTTCTGCTTCCCTCAATAGCCTAGGTGTCACCAAATTACCAACAATTTCATTCTTCATCTTTCCTCCCAAAGCAGCAAAATTTTGTTTCTCCGTGTGCAAAAAGTATTTCAAACAAAAGAACAGAGAAGATACAGGCTGGGAAGATGGCAGAGTAAGAGGACCCTAAACTTGCCTTGTCCCGTGGGTACAACTAGATAACACTCATTCACTTCAGCATAAATAACCCAGAAAACAATCCGAAGATGGGCAGAGTAAACTCCACAACTCAAGGTAAAGAAGAGGACACATCACAGAAGGTAGGAATAGTGAAGGTGTGGTTTGGGACCAAAATGGCCCTGATACTACTGACCAGTGCCAGTGGTGAAACAGAATAATCTGCAGATGAGCCCCGGAGATCACTCTAGGTTTCCTGAACAATGAACCAGCTGTGACCAACAGTCTCCTTTCCTTATTTCTTCCAAACTCAACTTCCCAAAGCACAGGTGGCTTTTTCCCTCCCAGCAGGAGGGACTGCAACTTCCCATGGACATCCAAGAAGTCTAGATATAGGCCCTGGGACTGTCCACAGTGGGGAGGAAGCCGGTGATGTGGAGAAGGGTGAAAAACAGACTTTCACACCAGGGAGCTCATGAACAGAGAGGATGAATCCCCATAACATTTGGCTTTAGAAGTGAGAGGGGCTGAATCTCATGCATTCTTATAACCAGTGGGACTTAAAGCCTGGGATTTTAAAAATCAGTGGGCTCAGCTCTGGGAGAGCCTGGAAAACTTTAGGAAGCTGAGTCCCTACCCTTAAAGAGAAAGCACCACAGTCGGCAGAGATACAGCGTAGAAGCAGCAGTTTGAAGTGCTGAAGGAAGGAGAGTGATTTACTCATCTCAGGGTGTGGCCCGAAGATCAGGGATCACAGGAAGATGCCTCCAGGAACAAAGGAGCTGGCAGGTGCCACTCTTCTGCCCTCCGACATAAACAGCAGCCACCTGTATGAACCACACAGCCCTGCTACCTAACTTGATTGTACCAAGCTCTGCGCCCCCGTGCCTCAGCAGATGTGCCCTTCCCGGTCACACTTGCCTTACTCCTGGAACTGTGGGCCCCCTCCTCTAAGAAAACGTGCACAAACCTCACCAGCACCATTCACCATGATCAGGCGGGATTTATTTCTGGGATGCAGGGGTGGTTCAATATTTGTAAATCAATCAACGTGATACATCACATCAATAAGAGAAAGGATAAAAACCATATGATCATTTGAATAGATGCAGAAAAAGCATTTTTGACAAAGTACAACATCCATTCATGATAAAAACCCTCAACAAAGTAGATCTAGAGGAAACATACCTCAACATAATAAAGGCCTTATATGAAAAACCCACAGCAAACATCATACTCAATGGGGGAATGGAGAGCTTTTCCCCTAAGGTCAAGAACAAGACAAGAATGTCCACTCTCATCACTTTTGTTCAACATAGTACTGGAAATCTTAGCCATAGCAATCAGACAACAAAAAAGAAATAAAGGCATTCAGAGTGGTAAAAAAGAAGTAAAACTTTCACTATTTGCAGATGACATGATACTATAAATAGAAAAACCCTAAAGACTCCACCAAAAAAATACCAAAACTGATAAATAGATTCAGTAAAGTCACAAGATACAAAATCAATGTACAGAAATCTTTTGCATTGTCATACACTAATAATGAAGTAGCACAACGTGACATTAAGAAAACAATCCCATTTACAGTCGCACCAAAAAAATATATAGGAATAAAATCTGAAAACTGTAAAATATTGATGAAAGAAATTCAAGACAACACAAAGAAATGGGAAGAGATTCCATGCTCAAGGGTTGGAAGAGCAAATATTTTTAAAATGTCTATATTACCCAAAGTGACCTACACATTTAATGCAATCCCTGATACTAATGCAATGCACTCTAATAAATGCAAACCAACAGCATTTTTCCACAGAACTAGAACAAGCAATCCTAAAATTTGTATGGAACCACAAAAGACCCCAATCTTGAAAAAGAAAAACAAAATTGGAGGTATCACAATTCCAGATTTTAAGTTATATTACAAACTGTAGTAATCAAAACAGTATGGTACTGGCATAAGATAGACACATCGATCAATAGAACAGAATAGAAAACCAAGAAATAAACCCATGATTATATGGTCAATTAACCTTTGACATAGCAGGAAAGAAGATGCAATGAGAAAAGACAGTCTCTTCAACAAATGGTGTTGGGAAAATTGGAAGCAACATGTGGAGGAATGAAACTGGACCACTTTCTTACACCAAACACAAAAATAAACTCAAAATGGATTAAAGACCTAAATATGAGACCATAAATATCCTAAAAGAGAGCACAGGCAGTAATTTCTCTGACATCAGCTATAACACATTTTTCTAGGTTTGTCTCCTGAGGCAAAGGAAACTAAAGCAAAATAAAGTATGGGGACTACATCAAAATTAAAAGCTTTTGGACAGTGAAGGAAACAACTAACAACACTAAAAGACAACCTACGGAATGGGAGAAGATATTTGTATATGACATATCCAATAAAGGGTTAGTATCCAAAATACACAAAGAACTGATACAACTCAGCACCCCAAATCAAATAATCCAATTAAAAAATGGGCAGAGCACCTGAATAGACATTTTTCCAAAGATGACATACAGAAAGCCAACAGACACCTGAAAAGATGCTCAACATCACTCATCATCAGGGAAATGTAAATTAAAAGTACAATGAGATATCAACTCATAACTGTCAGAATGGCTATAATCAAAAACACAAGAAACAAGTGTTGGCTATGATGTGAAGAAAAAGGAACCCTCATGCACTGTTGGTGGGAATGGTGCAGCCCTTCTGGAAAACAGTATGGAAGTTCCTCAAAAAGTTAAAAATAGAAATACCCTGTAATCCAGTAATTGCATTACTGGTATTTATCCAAGAAAACAGAACACTAATTCAAAGGGGTACATGCACCCCTATGTTTATTGCAGCATTATTTACAATAGCCAAACTATAGTAGCAGCCCAAGTATCTATCAATAGATGAATGGAAAATAAGTGATATGCATATACAATGGAATATTCAGCCATAAAAAAGAATGAAATCCTGCCATTTGCAAAGACAGGGATGGAGCTAGGGAATAGAATGTTAAGCAAAATAAGTCATTCAGAGAAAGACAAATACCATATGATTTCACTTATATGTGGAATTTAAGAAACAAAACAAATGAACAAAGAGAAAAAGAGAGAGACAAACTAAACCCAGACTCTAATAGAGAATAAACTCATGGTCACCAGACGGGAGGTGAGTGGTGGGATGGGTGAAATAGGTGATGGGGATTAAGAGTACTTAAGAGTACACTTATCATGATGAGCACTGAATAATATATAGAATTGTTGAATCATTATATTTTACACTTGAACCTGATATAACTGTGTATCAGCTATACTGGAATTAAAATTTAAAAACTTAAAAAAAAATAAATGAAAAAAACCCACAAAAAACAGCTGCTTCTCTAAGGTCCTTCGCACCACATTCCCATCTACTTCTCATCTCACACTGTGCTCTCAACCCCAGTAAATGTCTAGAACCCTCAATTCTTGTTTTTTTGCCAGACGTTATTCTGGAACACCAAACCTGTAGGGAGGGTGTGCATTAGGGCCTGTTGGTTGTAAAGCAGACAAGTAGGAAAGAGGTGTGTTTCTTAACTGCTCTTCTCCTTTGCTGATCGAATAAAATGTCCTTGTGTCTGTTTTTTCCTATAGGAAGCAGACATGAATAAAGAAGGGGGCAGTACCATAATTACTGTGGACAGGAGATGTACTTTTCGATCTCTAGGACTTTGCACACGAGAGAGAGAAGCCCTCTCCGAGGACAGGGAGGCTTGTCTCCTGTTCACTTCCATCATCTCCAGAGCACCTGAAAAGTGCCTTTTATAGGACAGGTGCTAAAGACTTTGTTAATGAACAAATGACAGCGATTGGTCCAAACAAAGCATCAGTCCTGACAAAGAAAAATTCATGAATACAATTAGCAGGAGACTGAATGAAGAAACTGTGCTGAAAATTCCCAGGAAGGGCTTAGCTGGTGTGAATATATCCTTAAGCCAAAATGCTTTGCTTATTTATACTTCCCGCTATTCCTGCTGGAAAAATTCTTCTTCCAGATGTTTTTCTATCTTGCCTCTTCACTTCATTTAGGTCTCTGTTCCATTGCCATATGCACAGAGAGTCCTTCTCTGACTCTCCATTTAAACTGCTGATGCAAATTTACAAGCATATATAAAAGTAAACAGAATAGTAAAATGAATTTTTATTTACCCAGTCACCTAGCTCCAACAATGACTATGTTTTACCTGTTTTTAAAAGCACTCATCACTATATATTCATTATATATCTTTTTATATCTTTCTTTATGGGCTAGCTCCTCTTCCACTAGAATCAAAGAACCAAGAGGCCAGGGACTTTTTCTATCTGGTTCATTTCTGTTTCCCTGATGCTTTGCACACTGTCTAGCACATTGCAGGTGCACAAAAGCATTTGTTCAATGAGTGAATGACTAAGAGAAGATTGCACTGGGTGTAGTGGGTTCTAAAATAGTTGTAGAGATTTGCAATGATCTGTTTTTGAAGTTGGCAGTATTTATTTTTAAGCCCAACTTTCTTATTTAATGTTTATATTCTAGATTTGCTTACATGGCGAGAAGTCGTAGAATCAATTCGCACATGTTGTTTTTGAGCCACTGCTATTTTGAGATTTCTATCAACAATCTAATGTACTGATCATTAATTTTCAAATATCTTCTGGTGGCTTTGTTTTCAGGTTGTTGTTTTTCTGTTCTGTGAAAATATCTTTATGAAAGCATTGGACGTCAGACAAGTATAAAGAATTGTATCCTAAATCTGCTCTTTAAATACATGTTAAAGTGATCTGCCAATTTTATCGCTGATTTTTTAAAGAAGATTTATCTGATCTTTCAAAAGATCAAAGTATTGTAGTCCTTCGTTCATCCTCCAACCCATGTAATGTGATTTTCATGTGAAGATGCAAAAACTCCAGGAAGGTCATTTTTGATGTCCTGGTGTCAATTTTATCTTTGAGTCCAAAATAGTATCACAGAAATCGTTGGTACCCAGTGCATGTTTGTTGAGTGAATAATTTGTAAAATATGAAGGAGATGGATGTAATAAGAATTAGGCATATTGTGTGTATATGATCTATCAGTGTTTTCTGAATTTCTGCTGTGCTTAGAATGCTACCTTAAGCATTCAAACTTTGGTTATTGTTCCTTGAGGTATAGTAAGTAGCTTTTCTATAAGCTGTAGTATTTTTTAAAATCAGTACTCTTGCAAATTCCTTTGAGGAATTTAAATATAAATTGTACATGTGGTAGTTGTGCTGGTCTGAGGTCTGCTGCAGTTAACTAGTGAACCTTGAAATATCCTGAAAATGTGATAAGGCTCAAAACAGATTTCTTTCTTACTCATGAAGTGACTTCTGTGGGTCCAGTGGATCCAGAACAGCTCCCTTCAAGTGATTAAGTCAGGGATTTGGTTGGCTTTTGTCTTCTGGTTCAATTCATGGCTTTTAGTTTTCATGGAAGGGACAAAGCTTTTCCCTGCCTTATTCCAGAAGTAGCAAGTATTGCCTCTACTCACAGCCCAGTGGTCAGAATTAGACATATGGCTCAATATAATCACAAAAATGCCAAGAAGTGTTGTCTAAGTGCCAGGAGGAAAGGAAACCAAATATTGGCAATGACTAATGGGATTACAACTTAGACCCCATGCCATGGAGCTCAGAGGTCAAAAGACTGTCCATTCATTCATTTAACGTTTAACCAGTAAGATCACAGATGCCTAATAGTAAGTGATCTAGTTGCAATTGCTCCTCACAGTGAAAGACATGTATATTGTAAGGCTGACAACATAAATGTACTTTTGGGGACAGTTGCTATATTTTAGCAAAGTTATTTTTTTTAATAATAGAAAAAAGAGCATTAAGATGGCAATGCCTTTAAGATATCTTTCACATTAAGAAACCTGGAACTAGGTCATCTAGAGAGGCTATCTTAATTCTACAGCCATCAAAGGTAAGTATGAAGTCCATCAGGTCAACATTTTAGGTACCTGGAAGAAGGAAACAAAAGGAGGGATAGAGGTACAATTTTCAGCTGAGGCAGCTTTCTACAGGAAGCCTTCCAGTTTTTCCAACTGCACTGTCACTTACATGACATTAACCAGAACAGAATCACACAGTCAAAATAAATACAGTGGAGTTTGGGTGATGTGGTGTTTTGGCTGGGCACTTTGCTTCCCTGAATAAATTAATGTTTTGTTATTAAGAAAGAATGGAGGGAAAATATCGAGTGAACAATTTGCAAGTTCTGTTGTAGTTAAGAAGGATCTCTCTCTCTCTCTCTCTCTCTCTCTCTCACACACACACACACACACACACACACACACACACACACTAGCATATACAATCCCAAGTAAGTAGAGATTCCTTTGAGATTGTTCTCCTGTTGTTTCTATACTAATTAACCTCACTAGAGCAAGAGGGAAACAGTTTCTTTTTCTTTTTCTATTACTTTTCTGTTCACAGAGTAAATGTTTCAGTAAATATTTCTGCTACTGACTTTGCCATTAAATAGAACCTTATTTATTGAATTTAGATGCAGTAAAGCAATTGATATTTTAATTTAGTCAAATATAGTAATATAATATGATCAGAGCTTTAACTTGTCCTTAGCCATCATAGTCCTATATACCCCTCTATACTTTTAATTAACGTTTGCCTCATAAAGGGAAGGCTTAGAAACAGATGTACCTGTTTTAATATTGAGACTTCATATACAGCATTTCTTGTTCCTTTAGGTTTATTAGTATGAGAATAATGAAAGAAGGCCTGAGCCATACAAAGCCTGGAAACTGGATTCAGCATGTTTGCTACCTATTACAGAGAATTAATTTAACTTACTTTAATTTTCCCCAACTTTGTCTGCCTTCTCCACAGGCTATACATTGATGGTCCATTTGGAAGTCCATTTGAGGAATCGCTGAACTACGAGGTTAGCCTCTGTGTGGCTGGAGGCATTGGAGTAACTCCATTTGCATCAATACTCAACACCCTGCTGTATGTTATTTTGATCCATTTTATTAGTTCAAATAGAGAACTATCAGTGTTTCAAACATTTCTCTCTTAGTATGAGGTAATCCCTCATAGAATTTGTCTACAGTAACACCCCCTCTTATGTAGAGGGAATACGTTCCAAGATCCCCAGTGAATGCCTGAAATTGCAGATAGTACTGAACCCTACATACATTATGTTTTTTCCAATAAATACATGCCTGTTATAAAGTTTAACTAATAAGTTAGGCACAGGAAGAGATTTAACAATAATAACTAATATTAAAATTGAACAATTACCACAGTATACTGTGATGAAAGTTATGTGAGTGTGGTGTCTCTTTCTCTCCCTCAAAATATCTTACTGTATTATACTCACCCTTCTTGTGATGAGGTGAGATGGTAAAATGCCTACGTGATGAGATGAAGTGAGGGGGATGCTGCTATTGACCTTCCAACAATATGTCAGATGGAGAATCATCTGCCTCCATGGATGACCACGGATAACTAAAAACCACAGAAAGTGAAACCACAGATAAGGAGGGACTACTGTACTTGTTGTTCATAGAACTCCATTTACTGATTGATGAAGGTAATAATTCAGTGATTCTCAGTATGTGGTCCATGGCTTTCAGCACGCTGTCCTGTAAAGTATTACCATCAGGCATTCCTCTGTCCTTTTTTTAAAAATTTTTTTAAATTTATTTTTATTATGTTAATCACCATACATTGCATCATTAATTTTTGATGTAGTGTTCCATGATTCATTGTTTGCATATAACGTACTGCATGGAGCACTGGGTGTTATCCTCTGTCCTTTTAAAGCCATTCCACCAGCCTTCATTTCTGTACTTTCTCCTAAATGGTAAGTGACAACCCTCATCCATTCTATCAGCAAGTATCTTTGAGTACCTGTGTGCCAATCTGTCCTATAGGAACTAGTAAATACAGCAATGAATGAAACAGAGTCTCTGCCCTTTAAAAGCTTATATTCAAATGGAACAGGTAAAATAGAAACCAGTGAGAAATTCATAATTAACATTATTTCATAAAATATTAGAACTCTGATAAAAAGAAGAGAGATTAATGGGATATGGAAATAAAGGGCTGGGGTCATTGTAGACGTATGGTCAGGAAAAGCTTTACTAGTGAGATGACAAATGAGCCCATGATTCCTTGGTCTCTTACTCAGCAAATTTATAACAGACTGAAGAATAGAAATTTCAAAAGATTGCTCACGTAGGAAAGACTTTTTCAGTTTTTTTTTCTAGGATGATAAGCAAAAATTAATGGATTAATATTATCATGAAAACACAAACAAAATAACAATAGGAAATTATTCTCCAATCTACCCCGTTCATTTTTCAAGTAGACACAATTTGCTTTAAGAATCTTTTATAGAGTACTAAAGAAGGAAATAATAAAGTTTAAATGATGTGTTTAAATGATATTTTATTTCAATTTTAAATACTTGTTACAAATTTGGGACTTTTTGGAGGTTCTTAGAAAAATAACCATATTCCAAGCCAGAAATCATTTGTTTCTGAAAACATACTGCAAGTTATTTGGAAACTTAAAGTTAAGAAAAGGAGAAAATATTTTCTTAGCCTCAAGCCGACTTCATAATTATAAATAGGAATACAGACTTGGAATTACGAGGCCCTGGAATGCATTACATAGTAGGTGACTGTTACATCTTCTTTAATGATTTTTAAAAGCGGATAAACAACCAGCTTTCTGGAATGGCTTTGGCTCATTCTGCCTGGAGGTCAGGGCATGGCTAATGACCACTGGAGCCCTGCTGAGTGATAAAATTCACTGAAAATAGAGAACTTTTTTTCTGAGACACAGGGCTCATATTCTCATTCAGGAGTTTAGTTTATTGCCTTCAACTGAAAATGGGTGATAGACATATAATATTCACAAGCATAAACACTTAAACTCGTGGAATATATTATGCCTCTGAGCCTGTATATTACATTTTAAATTCATTTGGGAGTTATGGTAAGTGCAATGACAAATGATCAAAAATGATAAATTGATACATGTAAGTGACTGGTTTTTCATTAGTAAATGAAAAGCAAATTTTCAAAGGTACAGGGATTCTTATTTTATTTTATTTTTTGCCATCCTAGTCACTATTGTGTTCTTTAATTTTAAAGGGATGACTGGAAACCATACAAGCTTAGAAGATTATATTTTATTTGGGTGTGCAGAAACATCCAATCCTTCCGTTGGTTTGCAGACTTACTCTGTGTGTTACATAACAAGGTAAAATTAGGTTTGTTTTTACTTGTGCAAGGTTTTTAAATAAAAAAACTTATTTTTTTCAAATTACAAAAGCAGTAAATGCTCACTGTAGAATAAACCAGAAAATAATGCAGATAACTTGAAAGAAGGAAAAAAATCTCTTAAACTTCAAATGACAGAAGTAGCATATTAATAATTTAGTACACATATTTTCAGGTGTTGATAACTGATAGTATGTGTTTATATCTATGATATGTCTTAACATAAAAATGCTACTATTTGTGTTTTAACATAGGGATGTAGGCATATGGCCGATGGTGTATGCATATGGGGTGGTGAGGGAAGACAGGGTAACATCAGCTGATGATAGCTACTACACTTTCCATCCTTTGTTCTGTTAGATCTGACCTCTTATTTCCACCTTTAATATTCCAAATGGACAATCACCAGACTTTTGGCACACTAGGCAGAATTTCAAAATCCAAAATTCTAAGTTTTATTTCCTATAGAGATTAAAAAAAAAAAAACAGACCTTCTTCATCTATCCTACACATAACCTTTTATCTATATATTAATATGTGTATCTTTATTTTTTCAAATTATATAAGTGATACACATGAATTTGCAGCAATTTTTTCCTTTTCCTTTTTTTAAAGATTTTATTTATTTATTTATGAGAGATAGGGGTGCGGTGTGAGGCAGAAGTAGATCCCCGCTGAGCAGGGAGCCCAACCAGGACTTGATCCCAGGACACTGGGATCACGACCAGAGCTGAAGGCAAACGCTTAACTGACTGAGCCACCCAGGCGCCCCTCCCTTTTCTTTTTAATTGTAGTATAGTTAATATACAGTAGTATGTTAGTTTCAAGTGTACAACATAGTGAATCAACAATTACACATTGCAAACTGCTCACCACAATACAATATGTGTAGTGATAATCTGTCACCTATAAATTTTTTATAATATTATTGAGTATATCCCCTATGCTGTAATTTTCATCCTTGTGACTTATTTATTTTATAACTGGAAGTTTGTACCTCTCAGTCCCTTTCACCTTTTTGACCTATTCCTCCACCCCCTCTTCCTTTTGGCTACCATAATTTGTTCTCTGTATTTATGAGCCTGTTTCTATATATTTGTTTTGTTTTTTGGACTCCACATATAAGTGAAATCATATGGTATTTGTCTTTCTCTGGTTTATTTCACTTAGCATAATACCCTCTAGGTCAATCCATATTGTTGCAAATGACAAGATCTATTTCTTTTGTGTGTGTGTGTATGTATATATATATATATATATATATATATATATATATATATATATATATTCCTTATCCATTCATATGTCAGTAAACTCTTTTTTTTAAGATTATTATTTATTTATTTAACAGAGATAGAGAGAGAGCATAAGTAATCAGAGTGGCAAACAGAAGGAGAGGGAGAAACAGGCTCTCTGCCGAGCAGGGAAACCGATGCGGGACTCGATCCCAGGACCCTGAGATCATGACCTGAGCCGAAGGCAGCTGCTTAACCGACTGAGCCACCCAGGCGCCCCATGTCAGTAAACTCTTAAGTTGCTTCTTTATCTTGACTATTGTAGATGATGCTGCAATAAACATAGGGGTGCACATGTCTTTTCAAATTAGTGTTTTCATTTTCTTTGAGTCAATATCCAGTAGTGTAATTACTGAATCATATGGTATTTCCATTTTTAATTTTTTGAGGCACCTCTATACTATTTTCCACAGTGCTTGCATTTCCACAAGCAGTACATGAGGATTCTCTTTTCTCCACATCCTCACCAACACTTTACTATTTCTTTTTCCTACTAGCCATTTTGACAGATGTGAAGTGATATCTCATTGTGATTTTGATTTGCATTTCCACAATGATTAGTGATATTAAACAGTTTTTCATGTGTTCCTTGGCCATCTGTATGCCTTCTTTGGCAAACTGTCAAATAACTTAAATAAACCAAATACTCCCTTACCACTTTCCTCACCTAATCTGTGTAACCAGAGGCAACTCATGAGCGTTCTATAAATTCTACCATACTATTTGTATTGTTCTAGCAATTACTTATTTTATTTATTTATTTTTAAATTTTTTATTGTTATGTTAATCACCATACATTACATCATTAGTTTTTGATGTAGTGTTCCATGATTCATTGTTTGTGCATAACACCCAAGGCTCCACACAGAACGTACCCTCTTTAATACCCATCACCAGGCTAACACATCCCCCCACCCCCATCCCCTCTAGAACCCTCAGTTTGTTTTTCAGAGTCCATCGTCTCTCATGGTTCCTCTCCCCCTCTGATTTACTCCCCTTCATTCTTCCCTTCCTGCTATCTTCTTGTAATTTTTTTTTCTTAACATATATTGCATTATTTGTTTCAGAGGTACAGATCTGTGATTCAACAGTCTTGCACAATTCACAGCACTCACCATAGCACATACCCTACCCAATGTCTATCACCCAGCCACCCCATCCCTCCCACACCCCACCAGTCCAGGAACCCTCAGTTTGTTTCCTGAGATTAAGAATTCCTCATATCAGTGAGGTCATATGATACATGTCTTTCTCTGATTGACTTATTTCACTCAGCATAACACCCTCCAGTTCTATCCACGTCATTGCAAATGGCAAGATCTCATTCTTTTGATGGCTGCATAATATTCCATTGTGTATATACACCACATCTTTTTTATCCATTCATCTGTCAATGGACAACTTGGCTCTTTCCACAGTTTGGCTATTGTTGTCATTGTTGCTATAAACATCGGGGTGCACGTACCCCTTCGGATCCCTACCTTTGTATCTTTGGGGTAAGTACCCAGTAGTGCAATTGCTGGATCATATGGTAGCTCTATTTTCAACTGTTTGAGGAACCTCCATGCTGTTTACCAGAGTGGTTGCACGAGTTGGCATTCCCACCAGCAGTGTACGTGGGTTCCCCTTTCTCTGCGTCCCAGCCAACATCTGTCGTTTCCTGACTTGTTAATTTTAGCCATTCTGACTGGCGTGAGGTGGTATCTCATTGAGGTTTTGATTTGGATTTCCCTGATGCCCAGCGATGTTGAGCACTTTTTCGTGTGTCTGATGGCCATTTAGATATCTTCTTTGGAAAAATGTCTGTTCATGTCTTCTGTCCATTTCCTGATTGGATTATTTGTTCTTTGGGTGTTGAGTTTGATAAGTTCTTTATAGATTTTGGATACTAGCCCTTTATCTGATATGTCATTTGCAAATATTTTCTCCCATTCTGTCGGTTGTCTTTTGGTTTTGTGGACTGTTTCTTTTGCTGTGCAAAAGCTTTTTATCTTGATGAAATCCCAATAGTTCATTTTTGCCCGGGCTTCCCGTGCCTTTGGCGATGTTTCTAGAAAGAAGTTGCTGCGGCTAAGGTCGAAAAGGTTGCTACCTGTGTTCTCCTTTAGGATTTGGATGGACTCCTGTCTCACGTTTAGGTCTTTCAACCATTTGGAGTCTATTTTTGTGTGTGGTGTAAGGAAATGGTCCAGTTTCATTCTTCTGCATGTGGCTGTCCAATTTTCCCAACACCATTTGTTGAAGAGACTATCTTTTTGCCATTGGACATTCTTTCCTGCTTTGTCAAAAATAAGTTGACCATAGAGTTGAGGGTCCATTTCTGGGCTCTCGATTCTGTTCCATTGATCTATGTGTCTGTTTTTGTGCCAGTACCATACTGTCTTGATGATGACAGCTTTGTAATAGAGCTGGAAGTCCGGAATTGTGATGCCGCCAGCTTTGCTTTTCTTTTTCAGTATTCCTCTGGCTATTCTGGGTCTCTTCTGGTTCCATACAAATTTTAGGATTATTTGTTCCATTTCTTTGAAAAAACTGGATGGTATTTTGATGGGGATTGCATTGAATGTGCAGATTGCTCTAGGTAGCATTGACATCTTCACAATGTTGATTCTCCCAATCCATGAGCATGGAACGTTTTTCCATTTCTTTGTGTCTTCTTCAATTTCTTTCATGAGTATTTTATAGTTTTCTGAGTACAGATCCTTTGCCTCTTTGGTTAGATTTATTCCTAGGTATCTAATGGTTTTGGGTGCAATTGTAAATGGGATAGACTCCTTGATTTGTCTCTCTTCTGCCTTGTTGTTGGTGTATAGGAATGCCACTGATTTCTGTGCATTGATTTTATATCCTGCTACTTTACTGAATTCCTGTATGAGTTCTAGCAGTTTTGGGGTGGAGTCTTTTGGGTTTTCCACATACAGTATCATATCATCTGCAAAGAGTGAGAGTTTGACTTCCTCTTTGCCGATTTGGATGCCTTTGATTTCTTTTTGTTGTCTGATTGCTGTGGCTACGACTTCTAATACTATGTTGAATAGCAGTGGTGAGAGTGGACATCCCTGCCGCGTTCCTGACCTTAGGGGAAAAGCTCTCAGCCTTTCCCCATTGAGAATGATATTCGCTGTAGGTTTTTCATAGATGGCTTTTTAATGATATTGAGGTATGTACACTCTATCCCTATACTCTAAAGAGTTTTGATCAAGAAAGGATGTTGTCCTTTGTCAAATGCTTTTTCTGCATCTATTGAGAGGATCATATGTTTCTTGCTCTTTCTTTTGTTAAAGTATTGTATCACGTTGATTGATTTGCGGATGTTGAACCAGCCTTGCAGCCCAGGAATAAATCCCACTTGGTCATGGTGAATAATCCTTTTAATGTACTGTTGGATCCTATTGGCTAGTATTTTGGTGAGAATTTTTGCATCCATGTTCATCAAGGATATTGGTCTGTAATTCTCTTTTTTGATGGGGTCTTTGTCTGGTTTTGGGATCAAGGTAATGCTGGCCTCATAAAATGAGTTTGGAAGTTTCCCTTCCATTTCTATTTTTTGGAACAGTTTCAGGAGAATAGGTATTAATTCTTCTTGAAATGTCTGATAGAATTCCCCCGGGAAGCCGTCTGGCCCTGGGCTTTTGTTTCTTGGGAGATTTTTGATGACTGTTTCAATTTCCTTAGTGGTTATAGG